TAGATACATAACACAATAATTGGTTTCTTTAGTTACGGAGCTCATTATTTATAAAAGACAAATCATCTATATACACTTTTGCATATTTAGTTTCACTCCAATCTTTATTTGTTATGACTTGTGAGCTCCAACGGTTTATTGCATGGCAGAAAGAGGTGTGTGGTTACGTTTAGTCGTTTTCTTAGTTAGCCAGTTGAGCTGCTATGTGACAATTCAGGACTTCCATCCTGTTCCAATGAGAATAAAACCCACGGTGCAATATTTACTGTCCTTGTCATTTAATTAAAGCCTTGTTCTTTTGAATTCTATACAGGCAGTGCAGACTAGACACTGTCATGGATTTTAACCCTTAGATGCATAAGTGGGTCTTTTTTGACCCAGTGAGGTGGTTTTCTTAGAGTATCTTTGTAATTACATTTCTTTTATCATTTCATATTCCAGCTATTCCTCAGGAAACATGTTTTGGATATCCTGCCATTCAACATTTTTATTTAAATTGTATACATTTTAAGAAATTGTAGTTTTTGTATTACTACCCCAAGCTTCCATAAGTGGGTCAAAAATGACCTGCATGCATTTCCTATGGGATCCTATGGGAACCTTTGATTCTTATCACCTGTTGCTGTCAGGAATACATTCACTGTAGACCACACAGACTACATCACAAGTGACACCTCTTATTTTACACAGCAAGATCTGATACCTCTCAGTATAATAATAATAATAATACATTTGTATAGGGCTTTTAAAGGACTCAAAATCGTTTTACAATATAAGGGAAGGTGAGGGTGGGGGGTATAGGACTATCAAACTTGATCAACCGGCATAGATTAATGGGGAGTGGGCTATGAGTAGACGAGAGGAGAAGAGATGAGTTTTGAAAAGGGACTGGAATACTGTGAGGGTCTCAGAATAACGGAGATCTTTGCATCGATATGTTCAAAACGGTTTTTTCAAAATGTAATTTTTTTTCCTAAAATTAGAAATACTGACACATTTAAAGGTGGGGTAGTAGTAAGTTTGAGAAACCGGCTCGAGATACACTTTTTGTTATATTCCATGGAATGCACTTAACATCCCGATAGCAATGAATATCTGAAGTGCTTTGACAACAAATCCATAAAAAAATGTCATCTGTGGAAGCCGTGGTGCTGTAAAAAGCACGACCAATCATTTTAGCCAGCCCGGCTAAAGTAACTGGATGGCCTACCTGCCTGTCAGCCTTCCATCTGTGCACAAAGTTATCTCGTGCCCTCATTGGTCATGTGCGCGTTCGTGTGTGTTGGAGGAGGGGCTCTGTAAGGAAATGGCAGATTTTTTCCGGTTGTGTATTTTCAAATTCTAGCGCACTCGAGCTGGTTTCTCCAAAATTACCTACCCCACCTTTAAACAGTGTTGTGCTAGTTACTGAAAACCAGTAACTAGTTACCATTACTAGTTACTTCATTTCAAAAGTAACTCAGTTACTTTACTAGTTACTTACACAAAAAAGTAATGCGTTACTGTGAAAAGTAACGTTTTAGTTACTTGAAAAAAGGGCTCCCATTAATGCCCTTATAGCCTTCATTTCAGTACTGTTATTGCATTGGAGAATAATACAATCTGTTGATCAACTTGACATGCATTATATGCAATCTGGATTGCATGGATATTAGCTGGCTTTCCATTTTTGTATATTCTTTCTCCAGGTAGTTGGAAAAAGTTTTCCGTCCCATATGCCGTGTGCCGCCCGGACATGCTATCATGCTAACTAGCTCCCTGAAAGCGGGTGACTCCACTGTAGCAATAGCCTGCATGTGTTCTACAACATACCGTGCGATGGCTTTATCGACTTTTCCCTGGCTAGCAGTCCCTTGGTTAAAATCCAGCCGCTGTTGCTTAGGTGGAGGTGGAGTGGCGTCGGCTGAGTCTCTGTGGTCTTAGCTACTAGCTTCGTCCCAGCATGTTGTTTTTGCAGATGTTTTAAGAGATTTGAATGACTGGTTTGGGCAGTAGATAGGATCTTTGACCCGCCAAGACACAACTTACATTTAACTAAAACGTTATTTTCTTTGTGCTCGACAAAAGTGAAATAGTGAGAATATCTCCAGGTGGAGAAACTAGACTTGAGCTCCGCCGCCGCCGCCATGATAGTCTTGTTAGTAAACAACACAAACACGCCCACAGCGCGTCTCAGCATGTGACACAGGAAGTATCTAAGTACATTTACTCAAGTACAGTACTCATCTCTGTTCGCCTGGCTGTTGACTATATAAAAAAAACGCGTGTGTAACGCGTTAGTCCGGACACTGCCTTTAAATACAAAATATTTCTAGTATGAACCAAAATATAATACTAAATATTATACAAGTGATTTTTCTTAACCAAAATGACAAATTGCATTAAATCACATATTATTCTAATACGGGTCCATTATGACCCACTTATGGAAGAGTGTGGGGTCCAGTCACTCGTGCATCTAATGGTTAAGTCCCTTTTTGTTTAAAGTTGAACTCACAGACTCTATTGGATATTTGAGTAGAATGTTCAAAGTCCCTCCGGGTCAGATCTACTTTTGTCGATTTATTTGGGTCACTTCACCTGTCTGTGGATGGCAGAGCCTAGTTTCATCGACGAGCTTCTTTTTTTTCTTCAGTTGATCAAAAGAAACAGTCACCACTTTCACTTATTGCCATGGCTGATAATAAGCCTATATGCACTCAGGATTCCTGACCATTGCTGAATTTCTCTATGCCTGCTCATAAAGTCCAGCCGGCTGTGTGACTAAGGTTGTGCAGATGTATGTACCACACCATTACCACAAGGATAGGATGAACACAACATTACTGCTGCTTTTGTTTCCATGTTAAAGGAGACAAAGATTGGCGCATGTTGACATGGCAACCGCACTCTACGGCCCTGTCCAGCTCTCTTGCACACCCACTCAGATGACAATAGGGGTGAAAAGGATAATATATGGGACTGGATAACAGCGTCGTTTTTCTGTCAACCAGAAATATACTGCTCACCATGATGCCAGATTATGACTTTTTTCTTTTTTGGTGTTAAACTGTCATTAGGCCAGATAAGAAGTTAGCCTGTAGCCCTGCTCGTCACGGCAGTGCGGCTTGACACTATCTTAACACAGAGCTGTAAGTAGCGAGGGGACGAGATGTCAAAAGATTATCACTAAGAAATAATCCAAGGACTCAAGGAAAAGATGATCAGTTTCCCTCCTTGCTTTCAGTTGATCTAAATAATCCTAATCTCTCTCGTACCCCATCTTTACATTTTTAACCTCATCTCAACTTTGATTTAAATGTATTCAGGATTGGACTGAGGCCCTGTTGAGCAGTCAGTTAGGACTTTCATACCCACTTGAATTTATCCAGGATTTTGACCAATTCTCAACATTGGGGGAGAAAATGGTCTGACAGAATTGGTTTGCTACGAAATCAAGCTAGCTGTAAAACACTTTTTATTTTTATTTGTGTTCTTCTTGCACACATTAATTTAAAACCTTTGTTGCCTGCATTCATTCAGATTCCCAAAATCAGCTGTTCTCCCTTGGATGTTTGTTTTAGTTGATTTGAATCTTTTTTCAGACATTGATCAAATCCTCCTCTAACCTGCCTTTTCTTCTCAGGTACAATTGGCTTCTTCGCCTGCTTCTGGTTTGTAAATAAGATCTACAGTGTGGTCAAGGTGGACTAGAGGACTGAGGGACAGACTGATTCCTTCCTGTCGCAGTGCCGGCCTCCTCAGTGCCGGCTGGGTTATAAAGTGGGCTCAATGGTCCTGAACTGAAACCATCACTGATCATAAAAAAGACCTGAAGAGCAGAGCCCGTCCTCTTTTGTGCTTTAAACCTATGTTGCTATTGTCTTTTATTTTTATTTTAAAATATATATATAATTTTGTCTTCACTGTTGACCAGTAATGTTTGAGTGGCACCCTGAGAATCAGTGTGGGTTCCATTGATCTATCTAGCTGTCATAGTGAAGCGTTTGTTTTGGTGGAAGAAAAATCTCAAACAATATAATTTTAATTTTCTAAAGAAAGTTAAATGTTCTGTATTTTTTGCTTTTCTATTCCCTTATGGTTAAATGGTTTGTTTTTCATTACCTGTAATGTAATGATAAACATGTGTGTGTACATATAATGTATAGAGAGAGTGAGCAAGAGAATGCTACTTAAAGATTGTCACCATGAATGGATCATTTGTAGAAGTTTCTTTTCTTTTTTTAAGGTAAAGATGGGGCTATACATACTTTAAATATCAGCCTGTATTGTAGTTCAGAACTTATATAAAACACTGACATTAATATGATACATGTCCATTCTCTTGTTTTTTGGTGGCTAGATTTAGTTTTGCATTGAATCAAACGGTACACTTGGTTGAGAAGCACATCTGTATCATAGAAGATTATGCTACAGCTACAGTGTGTTGAATTTGAAGGATCATCTCTCACCAATATTCCTGACTTGTTCAGCCACTGGAGAGATTCTAATGCAGTCATCATAACGCAGATCATGATTTTACTGATTAAGAACATATGTACCGTTGAGATGCACACTTGTAGATTTTAAAAAGCAGTTTGCTGAACAGTTACTTCATAAAACACTGCTGCCTTTTGCTTTGCACAGTGTGGAGTCATCACCCAAGGTGATAACGCTTTTTCCAAATAAATGCAATTCATTCAAAAATAAAGGCCACATGTTTTTTGTCCGGACATGAGTCTATTGGATTCATTGTTCAGTAGATTATAGTCTTTACATCTGTGTGGTTATAAAAGGTCACAAACAAGCATTGGCACATTCAACATCTAATTGTTTACACTTCAACATTATGCACAAAAACTACTAGTTAAGGAACCTTTGGCCAAACTCAAATGTCTGTTTGCTTTAGTTAAGTTGAGGATCAAAAACTGTCCAAACATCATATTTAGATTTCTTAAGCATATGTTGATAGGGGGAATATTCATATGAAAAACAGATGATAATATAAAGCTTTACACATGTTACAATAAGTTCACCTTTATTTAACAGACGACTTCTGATGTTGAATAAAGAAACCAGAAATAATACAAAAGCACAATAGAAATCACAAAAATATGTAGTTTTAAAGCACTTATAAACATTACTTTCTCTTATTTGACATTTACTTTATTACATCCTTTATCCCTTTGTTTAAAGAGCAACACTAACAAACTTACACAAGTTTGATTGTCATGTATAATACTGTGGTATGCGTTTCTACAGTGACCTTTTTAATAAACCAAGGCTAATATCTAAGCCAGTCAAATCAGGTCCTATAACTTGTCAATTGATTCCCACAAAACTATTACAATCCAGTTATAACAACACAACAGGTGCACCAGCTCATGGCTAAATGTTTTTTTTCTTCCCAAAAGGTTACAAAAACTGGACACATTTGGGACTTAACATACATTTTAAATAATGCACATAATGTAGTAATGCACTTATGACATCCTTTGGCAACACATCACCTACGCAGTTGGATTGCCTTTTTCTGAAATGAGTCATTGCAATCATATAACACTTCTATCAGAACTCATACTCTTTCAGCACACACGGTTTTTTCATTTCAAATACTATATCAGGAGGTATCTTTACAAATGTACATGTATTCAGTGGAATGTAAGAAATCTGTTACATAAGATATTGCGGCATGCAGCCTATGTTAAACCACTGGTTTAACAAGTACACTAGACTAATGTTTGTATCATACCCTGCACTCTATGCTCTGCATTTTATCAACACAAATATTGTGCTTTCTCAGAGAAAGGCCGACAATACGTAAGGCAACAAATACCGAGTCAATATATACAGTGGTCCACTGCAGTGACACTCAGAATTTCGACCTTGATTGAGCTAGAATTGAAGGAAACAAAGAAGTTAAGATAACATTTCAGTTGCAACTCTTTGTTTGTTCTGTAATTGGCAAGCAATAAATAACTACTATACTCATTTACTTAAAAGGCGCTTAGAAACCAAGTCATTACTGCTACCAGGATGAAAACACACGTAAGTTAACTTGCTCTGCAAGATTCAAAAACAGAGATGGGCACTACACATTGTTCCACAAGCATACCCTGAGTTCATTAGTTGCAGTTGAAGCTTGCTTGCACTAACACAAGTACAGTAAGTCCTGTGCCCTTAGGAAGGATCACAGAGAATACAACATACAACGTTTAAAGGATATATACTGTGCAGATACTGCAGAACAGTGCCTTGTCAATACATTTAAGTTCCATGATTTGGGCCAATTGGTCAGAACACCAGACACTTTGATCCTACATAATATTGATCTCAACATGGCAAGTTTAGTTAAAAAAACTAAAACAAAAATGACAGACCCAAAGCCAAAAATGTAAACTACAAAACTGAATTTGGTTCCATGATTCTTTTTTAAATGTGGTTTAAATGCCCGTTTAATTTAACGGCAACTAGTACAATAATTGCTTACAGAATGAAACAAAAATGAGTATATCACAGCTGCACACATTGTGACTTATCTGAAATGTGGTACCTTTGCATTTACACATTGAACCCAAAACATGATGTTGATGACCAACCAGGTAACACAACGATTCCTAATGCTAGTATCTTCAGAATGAATTACCCTGTTGTCAAGAAGGCATATTAGCTTATATTTGCACACACTAGGATGTCAATGTCTTTCCGATGAATCCTCAAGGCAGCTTATGTGCTTTGTTTGCTGTGGACTGTGAGCTCCCTCTCAGAGCTGACGCTGGTACAGGTGGTCTCTCTGCGGCTGTCCCTTGACTTCCTCTCAAACGTGGGGGAGGAGGATGTGGTGCACTCTTCCCAGGTACGCAGAGGGAAGACCCGAGCAGTCAGGCTGGGCAGGTGATGTTGGGCACCAAAATGTCCCTCTGTAGCTGTGAGGCAGCTCTCCACGGCAGAGCTCTGTCTGGGACGGCCCTTTTTGCAGAACAGACCGCAAATCAACGCGAGAAATTCCTTCCTCACACTGCGATGCATGTATCCGTAAATGTAGGGGTGGAGGCAGCACTGCAAAAAGAAGAGCACAAGGGCCAGGGAGGATAGCCAGGGAGGTACAGCTGCTTTGGCATTCATCGATATAGTATTTAGTATGCTGTAAGGCCCCATGCTGAGGATATAGGAGGCCATGATCACAAAAACTACACGAGCTGCCTTGCAATGGTAGTGGAAGCGTCTGTGCCTAACTCGAACAGGGTACTCCCGGGCTGTGTCGGGGCCATCAGGGGAGCCGGCCTGCTGGGGCTGGGCCTGCCGCTGTGGACTGCTCTGTCCTTGGGAGTCCTGTGGGCAGGGCTGAGAGTAGGATTGTGTCTGTATGGGGTGCACAAGAGCATTTTGCCTCCGGGCCGCTCTGAACACCATCCAATAACATCCGAGCATGATGAGCACTGGCAGCCAGAAAGAGAAGGTGGACACCACAGCTGAGTAGGACAGGCTAGAGGACCACACCACTGAGCACACGTTGTGATGGCGGTCAAAGTCAATGGCCCCCCAGCCGTAGAGGGGAGGCGTGCTCTGCAGGAAGCTGAGCACCCAGGTACAGATGATTAGGTTGGTGCCCAGGTGAGGGGTCATGCGGGTGGGATAGGACAGAGGGTGGATGATGGCCAGGTAGCGATCCACAGAGACGACAATAATGGTGTTAACTCCAGCAAATGCGAAAAGATGCATGAGCACCACAAGAGCCTGGCACAGTCGGGCATCCAGGGGCCACACACCCGGCACAGTGGCTGCAATGGCAAAGGGCATGACTAATATGGTCTGGAGGAGGTCTGCCAAGAGGAGGTTGAGGACGAAGCGGTTGGCCACGTGAAGGAGTTGAGGCTTCCTCTGGAACACCAGCAGAACCACCACATTCCCAAACAAGGACACACACACAATGAGAGATATGAACACCATCTTCATCACGCTGTTAAATGTGGAGGACCAGACTAGGTTTTGCCTGGAAGTGATGAAACCAGGGTCCCAGGGGAAATCTGTGAAATTTGTGCCCACATCGGGGGCCTGAGAGCTCGACATTGTTTGCATGTATAGTCTCACATCCAGCAGAGTGTTGACATACTGTCAGGTTAGTCCCATTCTGACTAACAGTATGTCAGGATAGATAACACTGTTTGCTTTCAACAATTTGTTCGCTTTCAACTGTTATAACAGCTCCTCCTTATTCAGTGGAATTCATGGGGGGAACATTCAACATATTCACATTTGCATATCGTCTACGTGGATAACATCCATTGTTATCTGTGTAAACAGTCCAGCAAACTCCATGAGAAGCCTGTAATGCAAGCGATTATCAACACTGATTTACTGTTCATCGTGATCAGTGATTAATCCCTTTATCCACAAAACAGGCCCTTTTCTTCTTGCAGACCACATCTGCCGAGTGAAAAATGGAATTTGCCTAGCGACCATAAATCCCACCGTTCAACCTGTCAGCATCGAGTATCGACTGACAATGTCCAGAGTAGACAGTGGCGAAAATCTCGGATATGTAATCTGTAAATGATGTTTGATACCTTGGTATGATCACTGATGCGATGATAGGTGCTCGGTTTTCATCGTTTTGCTTCCATTTCAGCCTCAGCTCCAGTCAATGGCAGCGAGCTTTCACGGCTCAGCTAACATACGCTGCGTGTCTTCACCCAGCGGGGGTCTCTCATCCAGATATCTCTCCTTCGCTGCTCCTTTCGGATTTCATGGCAGATCAAACATTTATTATTTTATCAGCTTTGATTCCTCCGCAACAGTTTTAGGCTACTTACGTTCGGGTCCTGTCTCCGAGGTGTCAGAAAAAAACCCAAGGATACCTGCACTGAAATCTCCCCCCACTGGAGCTTGTCATCCACCCCTCCCATCTGCTTTTTCCCTTTTGTTGTGAATGTGCAAGTCGTGTTTCACGATGCTGTCTGACACGTCTTTTTTTACATGGTGGAATCATTAGAACCGTTATTTCCATGTTATTAAATAGTGATAGGCTACGTGTCATTTTTTCCAGATGTGAAGAATAAGGATATAATACCGGCATAGCCTACATAAAGCATATTTGTTGTTATTTTGTGGCTATGTGTTCCTTTATGTAACCATACACAGTCTTATTTATATGGATCGTTATTCGTTATAGAAATCAGTTCACCCTGATTTTCCATTATGTCTCACTGTCTCTGTCTCACAGATCTCCTTAGTAACAACAAGTGATTCAGTCAGGTGGCTGTTTATGTGATCTTCACATGGCTGTCAGGAGAGAACAAAATAGCACCAAGGAATTGGAAGAGTATATCAGTATTTTAACATCCCAATTGGAACATCTGTTGGTTCCTTATTTCGTGTAGCTTAACAAACATGTATTGAAGATTTAACTTATTGTCATTACGTAGTACAGGTAGGCCTACTATGTAACAAAACAGTTTCTCTGCATTTGACCCATCCTAGTGCAGTGGGCTGCCATTATGTACAGCGCCCGGGGAGCAGTGTAGGGAACGGTGCCTTGCTCAGGCCAGGGACACCTCGGTAGCACTTGGTCTTTCCGGGACTTGAACTGGTGACCTTCCAGTTGCCAAGTCCCTATGGACTCCGCCACCATGCACCGCCCACTATATAAAAACAAAACTATAATACATATTTGTGTAAAGCATGTTCTATTCGAAAGAGCACTGATGCATCATTATTCACATTGGCTTATTTTAGATTGTGGTAATATCACAAATTACAATCATACCTAAAAGGCAAATAATTGCTTTTTCTAAAGCTGACCACCGATTTCTGTTTATTGCTGTTTACATTTTCTCAGTTGCAAACTTCAGACATCATTTTTGACTTATTAACAACATTTGACAAAACAATATCTCTAAGACACATCAGTTAATCCTCATCATCTTAATCGGTTCTATCACAAAATGTATTTTGCATTCAGTGTTTATGGATATAGCAATAGCTTATTTTTAATCAAATAAGAACAACCCCCTATCATATGACTGCTTGTATAACACACTTTTGTATAAGCCACCATTTTGATCTCTTGAAACATAAAAATTGCTTGAACATTTCAGCCTTTCTAGCAAACAGACTTCATTACGATGCACAGAAACAAAAATAAAAACAAAAATAGTACTACATTGTGCCATCCAATTAGACTGTATCTTACATGGCATACTAATCAATGCTCGTAATTAACCATTGTATTTCAAGTATTTTCTCTAACCGAGCTATCTAAAAGATCTTTGATGTGATTCCCGACGGACGGCCCGGGGGCAAGGCAGAGGACCAGGAAGGGGGACTCGGGCGGACGGCCCGGGGGCAAGACAGAGTCCAAGGTGGGGACCATGGAGGGGCGAAGGCAGCGGCAGGAAGAGTCAGGGGGCCGGGCCCGAGGGCGAAGGCAACGGCAGGAAGAGTCAGGGGACCGGGCCCGAGGGCGAGGACCGCGGCACTCAGGCGGCCGGGCTCGAGGGCGAAGACCGCGGCTCTCAGGGGGCCGGGCTCAAGGGCGAAGACCGCGGCTCTCAGGGGGCCGGGCTCGAGGGCGAAGACCGTGGCTCTCAGGGGGCCGGGCTCGAGGGCGTAGACCGCGGCTCTCAGGGGGCCGGGCTCGAGGGCGAAGACCGGACAGCTCCGGAGGCCGGGCAGGAGCCGGTGGGACAGGTGTCGGCAAGATTCCCCACGGAAGAGGACCAGGAGTTGGCAGGACCCCCGGCAGGAGGGCAGTCGGCGGGACCCCCAACGGGACAGGACACAGGATTGGCAGGACCCCTGGCAGGACCCCCGGCAGGAGCGCAGTCGGCGGGACCTCCAACAGGACAGGACACAGGATTGGCAGGACCCCTGGCAGAAGCGCAGTCGGCGGGACCCCCAACGGGACAGGACACAAGATTGGCAGGACCCCCGGCAGGAGGGCAGTCGGCGGGACCCCCAACGGGACAGGACACAGGATTGGCAGGACCCCCGGCAGGAGCGCAGTCGGCGGGACCTCCAACGGGACAGGACATAGGGTTGGCAGGACCCCCAACGGGACAGGACATGGGGTTGGCAGGACCCCCGGCAGAAGAGCAGTCTGCGGGACCTCCAACGGGACAAGACATGGAGTTGGCAGGACCCCGGCAGAAGAGTAGTCTGCTGGACCTCCAACGGGACAAGGCATGGAGTTGGCAGGACCCCCGGCAGAAGAGTAGTCTGCGGGACCTCCAACGGCACAGGACCTGGAGCTGGCAGGACCCCCGGCAGAAGAGCAGTCCGCGGGACCTCCAACGGCACAGGACATGGGGTTGGCAGGACCCCCGGCAGAAGAGCAGTCTGCGGGACCTCCAACGGCACAGGACATGGGGTTGGCAGGACCCCCGGCAGAAGAGTAGTCTGCGGGACCTCCAACGGCACAGGACATGGGGTTGGCAGGACCCCCGGCAGAAGAGCAGTCTGCGGGACCTCCAACGGCACAGGACATGGGGTTGGCAGGACCCCCGGCAGAAGAGTAGTCTACGGGACCTCCAACGGCACAGGACATGGAGTTGGTAGGACCCCAAGCGGAACCTCCAACGGCACTTCAGTAGGGACTGGAGAGGGAACTCGAGAGGATATTTGAGAGGGGACTCGAGAGGAGACTTGAGAGGGGACTCTGGTAGGAACTTGAGATGGGACTAGAGAAGGGACTAGGAAAGTGACCTGAGGAGGGACTAGGGAAGGGACTACAGAGGGGACTAGAGGAGAGACTAGAGGAGGAACTAGAGAAGGAAACTCGAGAGGAGACTTGAGAGGGGACTCGAGGAGGGACTAAAGGAGGGACTAGAGGAGGGAACTGGAGAGGGGACTCGAGGGGGAACTGGAGAGGGGACTTGAGATGGGACTGTGGCAGCTGGGGCCAGATCTGGGTCTGGAACCAAGGCTGCTGGGGCCGGGACTGGGGCCGGAATTGAAGCCAGAATCCTGGCTGTAAGGTCCGGTTCAGAAGCCGGAAACATGGCTGTAAGGTCCGGTTCTGAAGCCGGAAACATGGCTGTATGATCCAGTTCTGAAGCCGGAAACATGGCTGTATGATCCAGTTCTGAAGCCGGAAACATGGCTGTATGATCCAGTTCTGAAGCCGGAAACATGGCTGTATGATCCAGTTCTGAAGCCGGAAACATGGCTGTATGATCCAGTTCTGAAGCCGGAAACATGGCTGTATGATCCAGTTCTGAAGCCGGAAACATGGCTGTATGATCCAGTTCTGAAGCCGGAAACATGGCTGTTGGGTCCGGAGCGGAAGCCTGGACCCTGGCTGTGTAAGCCAGGTAATCCAGTATGGACTCAAAGCTGCGTGGGCCGGTACCGGAGTATGGAGGCATGGCTGTTGGGTCCGGTTCTGGAGCAGGGACCATGGCTGCTGGGACCGGCACTGGAGCCGGAACCATGGCTGCTGGGCAGGGAACCGGAACACGGATCCATGGCTGTGTGGGGTGGTACTGGAGCACGGTACCATGGCTATGTGGGATGGTACTGGAGCGCGGAACCATGGCTGCTGGGGCCAGAACTGGGTCCGTAACCATGGCTGCTGGGGGCTGAACTGGTTCTGGAACCCTGGCCCTTTGGGCTCGTGCTGCCAACCTGGCCTTGCGACTCCTTCCTTTAGGAGCCGTTTGGAGGCTCCGTGGACCTCCAAAGGCCAGACGAGTACCAGCGAATGGCTCCTGGACTGTAGCAAACACTGGGTGAGAAGCAGGGGCTTACGCCAGACGGACCACACCGATGCGTGTGGTATCAAAACGGGAGTTGGGAGGCCTGGGACTGTCAGGCAGGGGATAACACACCGTGAGAAAATCCAAAATCCTGCCCGATAAGAATTTAACCAAGTCTGGCTTCTCCATAGTAATCCCTCGTGCCTCTGCCAGAACAGCCTCTCGCTGCTGAACCCTGGACGCTCCCAACCATAGATACGAGCAGTCATCCAAAGCCAAGGAAAACTCCAATAGCTCCTGCTCAAAAGGATCTGCTGGGCCCATATTTGGGTCGGGTTGTAATGTTACGGTGTGCAGGAATCAGGACCCAAATGCAGATATAACGAAAATAACTCCTTTATTTCAAGGCTACAAATCTACAACAAACAGAGACAGAACGGCACACTCACCGATGAACTGGTCATTACACAAGACAACCCGACAAAGAGAGACAGAAAACCCAGAACTTAAATACACCCAGGACTAATCACATAAACACGAGACAGGTGAGGAGGGAGGAGAAAACACAGAGGCACCAGGTGAAAACAATCGGGTAATCAGGGAGGGAAACAGACAGAAAGCAAACAGGCAGGTAACGGGGGTGAACACTTTACAAAATAAAACAGGAAACCCAAAGATAGAAAAAGACAAGAAAAACACCAACACAGACAGATCCTAACAACTTTGAAGCAGAAAAGAAAGTTCAGCTAGCTAAGTTAGCACTTGGCAGTGGCAGGTATGCAGTGCAAAGCAAGTAGTATAGCAGGCTAAATATACGGTGGCCGGCAGGTGCAAAGGGCGGAACAACGCATGAGAGTAGGGTTGCCAACTTCCAGAAATGGAGAAACGGGACACATGCATGTGTCCCCCGCGCACGTGCTCGCGAAGATTTTCGGGTTTCTGGCGGATTTAGTTACTTTATTTCGGTTTTAGGGTTAGTGTTAGGTTAGGGTTATGTTATTTAATTCTTTTGGGGGAGCCAGCCCCTAGGGTTCGAAAATGTTTTTGGGGGTCAAACCCCCCAAAACCCTCAAAATGCATAGAAAACTATGCATACCTATAACACAATACAAACACAATGGTCTTACACCTGCATTAGGCTACTACATCACATTGTACATCAGCATGTTCAAATCGGATAAGTGGGCACTAGGGACATCTGGGCACCTCGATGTACAATTGGCTATTTTGTCCAAAATGTTAAAAAATAAAATATTTGAAAAATGGTATTAAGTAATGCAAAGTATACATGATGTGAACATGCACGGTACATCATTATTAGACTTAATTTTATCCTTCA